CCACGAATTCTTTTTTTTTTTAATGTAGTTGAGATTTTATCAGTTGTGTTGAGCGTCAGTGTAGATATTTCAATTTGTACACAATTCTTAACATAAGGACCCCAAAATCTAAAGAGCCATTTATTGTAATTGTTTTTTAAACAGTTATTCCAATGACTTTCCAGATTAAATTTGGAGGCAAATTTTCCTTAAAAGGATATCAAGTACCAGGATCTTCAAATGTTAATAAGCTGTTATATAAGTTCCAGCAATTCACAATTACTACCATATATGCTACACACTCAGTTTCAGTCCTTCACAGCACAGTACCAAACAGGAAGGCAGGGCTATCCCAAGCAAAGATGTTACAGAGCGGACACAATTCTGACAGAGAGAGCAATGATCACTGGAGTGGTTTTCTTTAAGAAACAATTCTACTACAAAACAGCATGGGAATAGAAGCAATTTAAAATGTTCAAGACATTAAATGCAGGACTGGAACTCCATATTGCCATTCACTCTGCTGTTACTCTTCTATTACAGGATGTAAAAACTGACCCTCCATCCATGGAACGTTACCCTGACACCCAAGACAGTCAAAGGCTCCCATAATGCAACATCCCACACTATTTTGAATTATTTACCTCTTAGAAAAAAACATTTACAATTAAAAAATGGGATGAGGTAGGATTCCTCTCCTTCTTAAAATATTTCTAGACCTACTAAAAAACTTGCCTTTAGGGGCAGCCCCTGTGGCTCAAAAGGGTAGGGTGCCAGCCCCATATGCCGGAGGTGATAAGTTCAAACCCAGGCCTGACTAAAAACTGCAAAAACAAAAACCAACAACAAGAACAACAAAAAACTTGCATTTACAAAACAATTGTTAAAAATATTCCCCTGGATTGTACAGGGAGCCAGGGACCACTGATAGACGTGGTGTGTGATATTAAGCAGACTTGGCTTCTTTCTCTCCCGCTCTCTTCAGTTTTAGTTTCTCCATTTTCTGCAGGTGACCCTTCAGTTTCTTGGTTAGCCGTTTCACCCTGCTTTCCCATTGCTCCCCTCTTCCCTTTTGGTTGCACTTCTTTGGGGATTTACCCTTTACTGCTGCCTTTTTTGGCTTCGTTTCCACTTTTGTGGGAGCAGGTTCAGCAGACCACCGCGCGATCTCCTGCTCTTGGGCTCTTCCCTCCGCATCTAGGGCAGAGGGGACCTTCCTCCTGTCATCTTGGCGGCCGGGAGGGCGCGGGCCTGGTGCTTGCGGGCCCCAGAGCCTTCTCCAGCGGCACTGCCTGGCCGCTGCCGCACCTCCCGCCTAGAGGGGCTGAGACCCGCCGCGGGGGGCGGGTGGGAGAAGCGGATGGACCCGGACTGGGAGCCCCCCTCCTGCTCCCGCCGGTCTGGGCCCGGGCTCTCCCTCCCCGCCCCCTACTAATTCCTTCCACGAAGTTGGCGCGGCTCCTCCGCAGTGTGACTGATGATCACCCTTGTGCCTACTTCTTTGCCCGTTTTCTTCTGTCCTTTCTGCCTTCCAGCATCCTCTATTTTTCATAGTTTTAACTTTTACAAGGGATATCGATGCATTTTTTTTTTTTTGAAAAACAAAATAGCACAGAATACCTTCCAATGAGAAGACCTGCTTCCTCACCGCTTCCCCTTCAGTGAAGGACTTCCTCGCCCAGTCCCATCCTCACCTTCACCTCTTTCTCTGTTTCTTCTGGTATTTACATGTTCTCCATAATTTTTTGTTTGTTTTGTGTTGTTTGACCCAGGGTCTCACTGTGTTGTCGAGGCTGGAATGCAGGGGTAACACCATAGCTCACTGCACTCTCAGAACCCTGAGCTCAAGTGATCCTCCTTCCTCGGCCTCTGAAGTAACTGGGACTACAGGCACATGCCACCAAGCCCAGACAATTTTTCCATGTTTTGTAGAGATAAGAACGTGCTCTTCCTCAGGCTGGTCTTAACCTGGTCTCAAGCAATCCTCCCTCCTCAGACTCCCAGAATTCTAGGATTACAGCTGTGAGGCACTGCACCCAGCCCTAAATCATTTTGTATTGCTACTGTCCAGTGATGCGTCCAGTAACTCCCTGTTAATCCCTGTTTATAGAATCCCAGTCTTTCTCTTTCCTGTTCAACTCCTTTTTGGTAGAAAAGATCTTCCAATACTGTTCTGAGAAAAAGTTTATTGACAGTAAAAGTTTTGAAGATTTTCATACCTGAAAATATCTTCATTATATCTTTACACTTGAATGCTACTAGGCTGGATTAGATTTTCATCTGTAGAGAACAATATGTTGACAATCTGAATTTTGAACATTTCTCCTCTGTCTTCCAGTTCTCATGTTGGTTTCATTATTATTCCACAGCCTCTGATACGTCTTTTTTTTTTCTCTCTTTCAAGAAGAAAGACTTTTTCATTAGGATGATGCCCCCAAATGTCATCAAAATATATTTTGGCATGGGATAATAAATGGTTGCTTATAGGTCTTTCAATTTCATCTGTTTCTTTGATAAGACGTTTTCTTGTATTGTGTCTTTGGTGACTTTCCTCCCACCACGGTTTTTCTCATTTTGTAAATTCATTAGTTGGATATAATAGATTCATCTTCTAGCATTCTTTTCTTTTCACTCCTTTAAAAAATTTTTTTTTATCTTTTACTCTACATGTTTATTTACTAATGTTTATGTTTGTTATAGTATTTTAATTTTTCTGTCCAAATATTTTCTTTTCCCAGCTATTATATTTTTAATTTCTCTAATGTTCTTTGTTGTTATTTGAATATTTGTTAAACCATACAAGGAATGCAAGGTGTTAGTAATCTGGGCTTTCAGATGTACTCATAAAATTGTTCCAGGAAACAAGGCATCTGTCAGATCCAGAGAGTCTGAAGCAAATCCTAAACAGTTTAAGTCCATTAAGAACTTTCTTACTTTCTTCTCTCTCCTCTATTCCCAGGCCTTCTTTTTGTCAGAAACCATGGTTAATTAGTCAAGAAACAAATTATTCTAAGGAAAGAAACAAAGGAAATACATTGAATTTTTTTTTTTTTTGGTTGAGACAGAATCTCATTTTATCGCTCTCAGTAGCATGCTGTGGAGTGACACTGCTCACAGAAACCTTCAGCTCCTGGGCTTAGGCAATTCTCTTGCCTCAGCCTCCCAAATAGCTGAGACTACAGGTGCCCGCCACAACGCCCAGCTATTTTTTTGTTTCAGTTTGGCTGGGGCCAGGTTTGAACCCGCCACCCTTGGTATATGGGGCCAGCCCCCTCTTCATTGAGCCACAGGCACTAACTAATACATTGAATTTTTAAAATGTGAAGTTCTTGGCCTTGTGTGAGGGGACTTCTAGTGAGTTTGGCCCAGCAGGATTAAACATTCACCTACTGCCACAAGGCAGTTGAAAGAAGAACAGAGTTTTATGCTTACTTAATTTTTTTGTATATAAAACTACCACTTTACAAACATAACATTATATGCCAAAGTAATCGCCTGATTTATTTGGTTTTTACACCATATACAGAGTATCTTCTTTACTACTAACAAGATCCAATTCAAAATTTTCCAAGTTACTAACATGAGTTAAACCTATGTAGACTATGCACGTCCTTTCTAAGCTTTATTTCTTTAATGAATAGAGAGACTTTTTAAACAACTTTAAGTCAATCCTGTGAGTATTCCTGATGCCACATAGAAAGCATAGGTTGTGTTTTTATGTGGTAGCCTGTTTTACTTATTAATTTTTAATTAAAATCATAACTGTGTATATTTATGAGGTATAGTGTGATGATTTGATATACAATGTGGAATGCTTGAATCAAGCTGATTAACATAGCCATCACCTCGCTTAATTTTTTACCTTTGACCCTCCTGGCTAGTACTGAGAACCAAGTGAGGAAGAACGTTTAAGTCTTCCAGCAAAATGCACATGAGTTGCTCAATCAATAGAAAATTCTAGTAGTTGTAAGCATTATATCAATTATAGAATTAATATACTAGTATTTGTTTGGTGCTTTGTAGTATTTATTTCTTGTTGTGAGAACAACTCTATGACATGCATCCTATAGGGTAAACTGAGGATAACAGATGGATGTTTATGGGTGTGCATATACACACAGGGAGATGTGACCCCAAGCAGGGACAGCCATCACTCTCTGAAGCCACAGGCAACTATTAGTGAGCTCTCCCTTACAGCCTCCATGGGGAGCACAGCCTTGCAGATGCCTCTATTTGCCCACTGTGCTACTAATTCGAGGGTCTGGCCTCCAGAAGTGGGAGGGAATAAGTTATTTTAAGCCAACGATGTGGCTGTTTGTTACAGCAGCCATAGCTCTGTAAGAGGTGAGTGAGGGGCTTGTGGAAGAGAAAGCTGGTTGGGGGAGACATATATCCAGTCTGCAGCATGCCTCTGAAATGAGGGTAGAATGTCGCAGGGAGGTGTCCAACCGCTTCTGGGGTTCCCGGGGAGGGGGAGGAAAGGCAAGAGCCTCAGGTGTGGGAGAGAGTGGGGACCCCAAGAAGCTCCCTGAGCAAGTGCACCAAACACATGCTAGGTGGAGATGGAAACCTGCACATGGCCTCAAATTGTGATAAATGGCAGATAATTCGTACTGGACTTAATATAGAAGACAAAGCACAGAAAGGGGTCACCCAGCAGGTTGAGTGTGGCTCTGAGGGGCTGTCACACTCGGGCTACTTCTGCTTATGAGCCCAGACGTGGCCAGACAGTGAGGCAGGGGTCCCCTGGGTGCAGGACCAGCAGGAAGGTTTCAGCTCTTGTTCACCCTTAAGTGTTGTTCTCGCTCATCGTCTCCCAAATGGGGACGCTGTAGTGATGTGGGATGGTTTGTGCCCAAGCGCTTTCTTTTGTGAGGCCCTGGACCTCAGGCCATGAATTAAAAGAGGATGTTTGTTCTCTGGAACTGATTACCACCCACACAAAAAGGCCACTTTATTATGAAAACTACCCTCGACTTGAGGCCTGAGACGGGAGGATCATGACAAGACCAGTGCCGAAGTGCAGGGCAAAGAATTTATTAAAGCAAGACGTTGAAACCTCTACATGCTGCAGGGCCGATCACTGAAAGACGGTGGAGCCAACACGAAATCCTTTTTTGTCTCCTATAAACACTTCAACAGTATTTTCCCCTGAAACAGAAAAAGAAGAAAGGAAGGTGAGGTCAGCCATGTAGACTCTGGAGACACACAGACACACATGGAGATGGAATTCTGTCACCAGAGGCAAAGAAAAGGAGAGAGGCAGGAGCCCAGTGTGTGGAAGACACAAGTGCCTGCACCTGGTGCCATCAGCGCACACCATTCAGGGAGGGGACAGCCTTTCCCATCCAGCTGATGAGGAAAGCTGATGTGTCCCCAGTATGTGACTTGGGCTCCTAAAGGAGGTAAGCATGTAGGGTGGATAGAGAGGCTTCAGGGTGACTTTCTCTGATGTCCGGGACTTAGGATGCTTTTTCCTCTATAACGAGGGGCATGGGGCCCAGGGACTGGGTGAGGCTTGGAGGGACCCTGTCAAGCCCTGTCTCCTACACCTCCCTGGTGAGGATTCTGTCTCACAGCCCCTGGACCCCTCAGCTTCCATGGACATTTGCAGCTGAGCCTCGTGACCTAACCCAAGGGGTAGATGAACCCATAGGTCCCTGGAAAACACCTCATTTGTTGAGAATGACATAAAGGAAGAGCCTCATATTCCCGTGGCCCTGCAGGAGACAAGGCAGCAAGGTCTCTGCCCACTTGCCGTGATCCAAGATAGTTCTGTGGGCTGGCTGTAGGTCTCCGGCCCTCACTTCCCCCTGCCACCCTCTCAACACTCCTCACAAGACTCCCGGTGACTGTTCCCCACTGCATGGGTTGCCCTCAGCCCCAGGAGAGCTCCTGGCAGGGAGGCTGCAGTGCCTGACCCTCCGCCACCCCTGCCAAGGGCGTGGCTATCGTCCTCCTTACAACACTATGGAGAACACAGCAGCCAGGCAGGGGACCAAAGGAGGGGGAACATGCCCAGGATGCTGTGTGCAGCTGAGCTGTGGTCCCATAGGGAAGAAAGAGGGGACCAGCAAGGCTGGTGCCCCACCACCTGTGTCCTCATGGGACAGCAAGCTGACCTCCTTTTATGCTGTGCAGCTGACCAGAAGCCTCTAACTATACACAAAGAAGAAAGAAATTACCAATATTTTTTCAATCATCATTCTGTTGGGAAGGGATATCTGATCTATGCATTTCTTCACTTTCATCTTGGCCTGAACAGCGTCCTGAGGTGCATGAAATTTGGAGAGTTGTTGCCTGAATACTTTTTCTCCAGCAAATAAGAAGCCTGTGATTTCGGAAGCAATAACTGGACAGACCACTGCATTGGCTGGAGCACAAAAATAAAAAAAAAAAAAATTGCAAAGAAAGTTAATTTTTATAAATGGCTCCCATATTTTGGACCAGACGGGATTCCCAGGGTTACCTATTAGCATCCCATAATAGTCCCAGTGACAGGGTAAGACCCTGGAGACTGACTTCCTCACCATCTCACTGCAAGAGGATGAGCTGGGACTGGAAACCTGGTTTTCTGACCAGTCATTCAGATTTTGTTTATTTAAGGCATTATTTCACAAAACCTCTCTGGTTTCTTGAAATTCTCTTTACCAGATGTGAAAACATTACATTTTTCTCTACCAGTTGACCAATGCCTTGTTAGTCTTGAATATCAGTAAAGAGGAGATTTGGGGTAATGGGATTGTGAAGTGAATAGTAGAGTCAGAATCCTACCAAAGATCCTAGAAACGAGAATAAATCTAGAGAAGAAAAGGTAAAATGTTGAAGGTGATACTTTCAGAATAAGTCGGAGAAATTAGAATTGTGCCACTGAGGCAGAGCTCAAAGGAAATTGAAATAAGAGAAAGTGAGTCATTTTCTTTTTTTTTTTTTGAGACAGAGCCTCAAGCTATCCCCCTGGGTAGAGTGCCATGGCTTCACTGCTCACAGCAACCTCCAACTCCTGGGCTCAAGTGAGTCTCCTGCCTCAGCCTCCCAAGTAGCTGGAACCACAGGCACCCGCCATAACGCCCGGCTATTTTTTGGTTGCAGCCATTATTGTTGTTTGGCGGGCCCGGGCTGGATTCTAACCTGCCACCTTAGGTGTATGTGGCTGGCGCCTTAGCCGCTTGAGCCACAGGCGCCGAGCCGAGTGAGTCATTTTCACCCTCATCAGAAGTTTGTATATGAATTGTGACTGGCCCCTTTATTCCTCAGTGATGCTGAGAATCCTTAGAGGTTGAGAGGAGGAAACTGGGGCTCATTCCTGCCCTCCCTGGGAATTGTGGGGACACCTGGTACACCCACCTTGCCTGCTCTGGATTCTAGATTCCCCAGGTCCTTTGCAAACACCCTGCACTCAGAAGGTCCCACCAGACTCTGACATGACCCCTGACCAGACAGCATCACACTGTGGGGAGACCTTGGAGAGGGCAGGACCAGGAGCAACACAGGGAGAGAGGAGGAGATTCAGGAAGTGGGAGGAGAGGGGAAACTCAGAGGGACCGGATCAGTCCTGAGAGAGGACATGAGGACACACAAAAGAATTTCAGGATGAATGGCTAGAATAAACTGTAGAAACCCAGAAATCATAATGCTAATGATTGCATTAGTTCTACTACTAATCCTGGCAGGACTCATAGAAAACTAGTCATGTTCGAGATACACAGTGAGCGCTGCTTGTTCTCAGAGCCTGTTCGTTGGCAGGTTTCTGTTTCAGAGATCCTGAGAGCACTGCCTCTTCCCTCCCTGGGAGCGCTCCAGGGTTCTTCCAGCTATAACATATTATGAACCAGAACTTAGGAATTGGAAGCTGAGGGCTCAGTTGATGCCTAAATCCTCTAGGACAGGGGTCCTCAAACTTTTTAAACAGGGGGCCAGTTCACTGTCCCTCAGACCACTGGAGGGCCAGAATGTGGGCCCTGGGACGAGTCAGCTGCTAAGCAGGACAGGCAGAGGTGGCAAAAACACCCGGCAGGCCAGATAAATGTCCTTGGCTGGCCACAAGTAGTCCACGGGCTGTAGTTTGAGGACACCTGCTCTAGGACAACGGTTCTCAACCTGTAGGTTGCGACCCCTTTGGGGGTTGAACAATCCTTTCACAGGAGTCACCTAAATACATCCTGCATATCAGATATTTACATTATGATTCATAACAGTAGCAAAATTACAGTTACGAAGTAGCAACGAAAATAATTTTATAGTTGGGGTCACCACAACATGAGGAACTGTATTAAAGGGTTGCGGCATTAGGAAGGTTGAGAACCACTGCTCTGGGAGCAGGAGGAGACCGCCTGATAATCATAGGCAGTAGGTTCCCAGCACAGCTGGACTCAACCTGCTTCACCTCACTCCATTCCCACAGCCGCTGCTGGTGGAAGCTCTGAGCACCAAGGCCAGGAGGAGGTTTGGAGAGGGTGAACACCTTGCCAAGGCCAAGTTGGGAAGTGGCAGAGCCCAGATTGCCCCAGACCTGCCGACAGACCCTGCTGCATCAAGAGCATGAATCTCAGTCAGGAGTGAAGCTCAGGCAGAATTCCTAACACTGTCCTGTGATGAGTTTCTGTAAAGCTTCCATGTTATGGGGGTGGATGAAATGAGTAGTTCAACAACAGGAAAAGATTCGAACTGTGCTTTGTCCCGGACCTCAACACCAGCCCTAAGTCTTACCTAGTGCTCAAGAGGGTACTGGCCAGGAGCTGCGACTAGGACTAGACTGAAGACAATCCATACTCACCCTCATAGCAGCAAAGGGCCAGAGTGACCAGCAGGAGACATACCGACAGCCTCATGGTGGCTTATCTTGCTTTGAACTTTCAGCTTTAGCAAACAATGAGGAACTTGGACTCAGAGTCAGGAGGCTGCGACTATTTGTACCTAGTGAGCCTGGCTGGTCCTGCCACATAGGCAAACAGCAGGTCACAAGGCCTGGCTTCCAGCCATTCTTTCCTCAGGGAGTGCTAATGCCACATCATTGTCACATCTGCATACCTCCCTGCATCCTGAGTGGGGCAGCACACAGGAGGGCAGCCCCATGGGAGCTCTGCTCTGCCCTCCAGGTGAGGGAGCAGGTGCCTCTGGAAATGGCCCTGGGTCCTCAGTGTGATTTTGGAATTTTGACAGCGACAAAGTGTCGTGTCAGTGCAGAGGCACATGGGTGTTCTCTTCAAGAGGAAAGACCTCAGGGGGCACAGGAAGCTGGGGGCCTTGGCTTTGGTTGTAGGAGACCAGGAGCATAAGAAGACCCCACACTGTCCCCTCTGCATGTCTGACACCAACCAGGTGTGTCTCGGCTGCACACCAATCAAGTCTGGATGAGACCTACCCTCACCCTTGGTGCCTTCCTTCACTACCATCATCACCATGTAGGTGCCTTAAGGCATTGTGGGATTCACCCCACCTATGGAGAGCCTTCACTCCTCCCCCCCGGCTTTGTTTAGGGGTGGAATTGTCAGCAGAGCTGAACTTCCAATTTTCTTTCCACTGACATCCTGGGACAATGAGCCACCCACCTCCTCATAGGGATGATGTGATGATTAGGTGACTCTGTGCCTTTTTTTTT